CCACACCCACACCATCACTCACTCACATCCATGCACCACACCCCACACCCACGCCAACATCCTACTCACACCTTTGGATATTCTGGAAACTCGGTTAAGTACTAGGGTAGAAGATCAGTGAGATACAAGGATATAGCAGGACTACGTACTCTAGGAAGAGTAGGAGATGTCGGTAGTATAGAAGGCCCAGAAGATATTGGTGACAGAAATATAGAAGATGCTGAATAACCGATGTGGGTTTGAGTATCAAGGTCCGCCGTTTGTAGTTTCCCCGATACACCCACACCCTTACCAACAAGCTATTAGTAATTCAGCCTCTTGGCTCTTCAACTTCCTTTTCCCATTTTTTGTTGTTTGTTTGCTTTTTGTTTTTTATTTATACTTTTTCTTTTAGTGCAGAGCCCTAATAAATATTTCAATATTTTAATACATAATAGGAAACGCTTCGACAAAATTAACTCTGCATTTATTTTTTTATAGTTTTAATCAAAGCATATTCATTCATTATTATTCTCTTACAGTTTGATGTCATGCCTAGGTCGATTGTTGAAAAGCAAGAGGTGAGATTGACAGACTGATTTGTCTTTTCCTCAAGAGATAGGTCGATGTGTCTCTTCATTGATTTATGTACACTTTAACATTACCACAACCACATTCACATCTTACTTTGAGAAGAGCGAAAACAATACTTTCATCTTGTAAGCAAAAATATGGCTCAGAATACTAGTCCTTTTGGTTCCAGTGAGTATAAAATTTTATGGAGTTGTCCGACTGCGCCAGAGTCTGACATAAAACCTAAGGAAATTCCATCGTATCAATACCAAGCTTGGTGGCATAATTATCCCCATAGTAAACCAGAAGTTCCTCTCCAACATCGATATTTCGAGTTGCTATGTAGAAAATGTTACCATGATCTATACAAACACCGTTATATAAGTAGTTTCACCAAAAACTATGTACGAATGTCATCTTACGCACGAATGCAATGAGATTTTGTTGACTAAAAGTGTTTGGACAATTAACAAATCGAAGCCAATTCGAGTTGTTGGGCTCAGATCCATCGATATAATACATTATATCACCCGACTCATCTCGTACCTATACAAACATGAAAGGTGAGATAGCAAGTTGTTTCCATTCTTACTCTCCAAGCATAGCCACTTGCTTCTTGAATGAGGCCATTGTTGTGCTTATAGCCACCGTAAGGACCAAAACAACTGAGCCGTGCGATGGGACGAGCAGCAAATGCTTCTAGGCCCTTGTAAAAACAAATTATTCATTTTTGCTTGCACAATACTGTTTTTTATATGTTACTTACAGCGTTCGGAAGAGAACTTTTAGCAATGTAGACAGTGTCCAGTGGAACGGTTGCAAGAGCATAGGAGTTGACATCAACAAGAGAAGGATAAATGACCTAAATATCCTATGTAGCAATTCGTGTCGAAATAATTTTATATAGACAATGACGCATAAATAACTTCGACAGATTCAGAATCGTAGAATATCAAACGTTATTTGCCTTATGAGAAAGCTTACTAACCCAGTCCCTATTGGGCTAAAATGTAGAACTCACATATTCCACGTCATTTAATTGCTGATCTAATAGAGAACCTTCAACTTTTAATGTATTAAATTTCAAAATTTATCATCTGTAAACGTCAAACAAAGTAAATCAAGGTTTAGCGAATGCAATCTTTTTTCTTATCAACACTTAATAGTATTACAGAGAGTATTCATAGTTTTTTATCGCTGATTTCCAATAGATTGAAATTATTGGATACTTGTAATGGGGAGGAGAGTGAGGAGCCGCAAAATTTCGCTCTTCAACTTACACGCACTATTTTCTTCGAAAATATATGTAAGTTCCACAAAAAACAGTATTATATTATCAGCCACTTTTGGTAAATAAATCTGTACAAGACAGCTTTTCGAATAAAGATATTGAAAAGCAAAGTTTTTGATATTAAATATTCGACAAGATGAATATTTATGAATGTTTCTCGTATGATACTTTATTTGAATTTCCAGACAACCCTTTTGTTTTCTGTTTATCAAGATACAGGAGGTATAGGAGGTGTAAGGTAGGTATCATGCTGTGTGTGCGTTTCTCATGGCATCAACTACAAGTGGAATACCATGTGCATTTTCATTCTGGAGGTCGATCTACAGAAGATCGTGGAAGAATCCCTGGTAATTCACTCTAATCTCTAGGTATTCCCTAAATTTCTGGTAATGCACTCGAATTTCCCAATAATTCAGCCTACTCCCTGGTGATCGATTAAATCTCTGGTAAGTTCTAGTATTCTTGTTTTCTTGGAATCAGAGTTCCGAATTATACGGTAATTGATTTTTTCTGAATTACTTTGTAATTCATTTACGTCATCCAGTGTTTCACGGAGCATCAACGCATCTGATATTGCATAGCCCAGTAAAGTTTCACCATGTTGGTAGTTCTACGCATGCTCGATTCTCATTTTATGTTAGAGTGTTACTCATTCCATACTTCAAGGAACGAAACGCAAAAGTAACATCCCTAGTTCGCAAAGAGGCTAAGGAAAAAAACTAGTGAAATTTATTTCTGATTCAAGACAGCTTTCTTACTTGTGCGTCACGAATATAAGTTAATTTAAATGGAAGACGGATTTTGGGTGATGTTTCGCCACTGTCTTTGCAATCGTTACTGGATAGCAGAAAGAAGAATGTATACTGAGCTACGATAAAAAAATCTATGATCCATATAATGGTTCACTGCGTAGAAACAATATATGCACGTCTACTCGAAAATGCAACTACTCCGTAATGAAAGAAAAGTCGATAGTGATTTGCAATTGAGTGTGATAATAATGATGACTTGTTCTATTTTTAGAAAAATAAAACCAATAGTAATATAATTGCAAATATATGATTATTAATAGTAATAATGGCAATGTGGATTATAAAACAGCAATGATTAAGTCGAAAATCAATAACAAAAAAAAATAGAAGAAAAGGAAGCAAAACAACACAAAACTAGTTGCACCGGAAATCAATGATGACTTAGTAATGATTGAAAAAACAAGATGAAGAGAGAATCAAGTAATCAATAATATATGTAATTCAATGTTTAGCGGCGATGTGTGCCATTTGTTGACGCTAACAATGATATAAACAATCATATCACCTAAATGTGATTTTGAAGGATGAGTTCCTAGAGGAAGCAAAGCTGTATATTCGAACCCAGAACACTCAACTACCATACCTCCATCAAAATCTCAAGGTGCCTCTGCGCACAACAAAAAGATAGCCTAAAAAAATTAATAAAACAGCAAACAGTTAAATCACCTTGCACATGATTCGAATCCGTGTCGTATCACACATCATATATTAGTTGCTCGACTGTATGCAAAATCATCCTTTCTTTTCATCCTCTAATCTCCTTCTTTATATAGTCTATTAAAATGTTGTTCTAGCGAGCATTTACAGTAATAATATCATGAAATGTGATGATATATATATATGACTGATGTTTTAATATATATGCCATTTATTAATGAATCTAGTGGCATGCAGTACATCTTGAGGGTAAGAGGATGAGAATGTGTATTTAAGTATAGTATAGACAAGTACTCCAAGGTTTTTACGATCGGTTTCATCCTCGTTTAAGGGACTCGTCAGATAAGTTTGAAGTTCTACGTTGCTTATTGATATATATTATTTATAATATTTTTCGAACACTGAAAAAAAAAATCATCAAAATATATGAAAATTTATATTATAAAAGATTTTCAAAGTTGGAAGCATCACACGACGTGTTTCGACCTAGCTTAAAGGCCTTTGTTAAGTATGTTTACAATATATTACTACATGCATCCAATACTCTTCCTATAAAATTGAAGAAGTTAAAGAAACTCTTTGGTGAACTGTATATGAAGCTTACTGATTGTTATTTTCACGCTATTAGTATGGCTGAAGAAGATTATGACATCTTCATACATTCAACCATGACATCATCAAGTGTCACGCATCTGTCCATTTTGGATGTTGATAAGAATATCATAAATGTAGTTACGCATCTGTGAAATTACACTAAATCTACAATGCTTCTCAGCATCCTTTTCCTACACTAATCTTTATGAATTCTTTACGGCACCTACTCTATCAATAACTTCTCTTGAATTACTGCTAGATTCTTCTAAACATAATTTATTTGATATATTACAATATGTGCTCAATTTATGTCGACCGAAGATGGAATATGATCATTACATCAGCGAATATTCGCTAGACTGAAAGGATACGATCTCAAAGTGGAAATTCACCTGTGTCTGTCTGTCTGTCTGTCTGTCTGCCTGTCTATAATACAGTGACACAAATGACCGTTTTTATGGCATCAACGACTATGCGTGTGAAAAAAAAGAGCATTGCATATAACTTTATAAAACTGTTTTTGCTAAGAGTCTTTCCACTTTCTTTACAGCTATCTCTTGCCTTGTCTAGTACCTTCCTTAAAGCACAGCTATACCTAGATTTGCCTATAACTGTAGATCGCAGCCGTCAGTCTAGGGTCACGTATCTCGATTTTCGATCCACGTTACTTGTTAATGCAAAAAAATTCATTTCAAACCATTTGTCGCAACTAGAAACATTCTATTTTTTTATACAAGAAAGTTTTCAAGGGAATGCAATGTTCGAAGAGCAAGTTGATAAAACGCTTAATACATTTCGAACTCCATTTTGGCTTGATAAGCATGATTGGTTTTGTTCAGTATGATTAGAAACCCGTGATAAAACCTTTTCTCTCGATATCTTACCATGCAATTTTAGTTGTGGGTATGAGTCTCGGTGAGGGTAAATCTAAGCCAAATAAAGACTCAGATCCAGATCCACACCCTCAATATTATGCGTCATATATTGACAGATATTTCATTGAAAGTCTAGATCGATTTACAATCCTTTTTTTGTTTTCTTACAAAGCGTGAAAAATAGTTTGGTTCACAATGACTAACTATAGTATTGAATGATCGCAAGTCATTTTAAAACCGAGAGAAGAAAAATTTTTTTCACATTTGTTTATGCGATTTCTATGCCAAAAGAAATCACTCCCACCAAATCTTGAAGAAACATACTCGTTTAAAAAAACTACATACTTTTCTCATGATATCTTAGCTCATGTCTAGTACAGCATCGACATTGAAGGTGTGGCTGTGGATGTGGGTGTAAATCCTCTCTTCACCGATACATAAACATCGTGTTCCAGTTGCCACGTGTAACAGATCTATTTCAATATTTATTTATTCAGTTTGTGTAGATATAAAACTCGTCATACAATCTTGAAGATCACTAATTTGATAGATATGTCAATCAATCGTATAATTAAATTCACTGATGATAGTATTCAAAATAGAATCGATTTCAACAATTCTTGAATTGTTATCATCAGCAATAATAATAATATTTTCGTTCTGAATTTCTGATGGATCTTGCAATCAATGAATATCTCCGAACAACATTTTCCGAATTATTATAAAAATGTTATTCAGAAAAAGAATCTCATTTCGTTTTGTATTATATAACATCCATTTGATGTCATATGTTCTTTTAATGATTTAAAATACTTAATCTCATGTGGACAATTAAGTGCTGAAAGTAAGACTTTTGATTTTCCACTTCGATGATCTATTTGAACAAGTGAACCTTGATGAAATAGTGTAGCTAAGAAATATTCTTTATCGAAAATAATCTCTGAATTAATATGATTTTTCTGATGAAGAATAGGATAAGTATAATAATGATGATCGAAACATCTTGATACATTTTATTTTTCCATTTTCTGATGTTGTCGTGTATTCATGTTGAGGGACATATCAATCATTTAATATTTCACCTTATAAATTTGTCTGAATAATAGCGTCGATACATGTACTAGTTACTAAAATAGCTTAATTTTCTTTATAATGAGTACTATGTAAGCAATTAAAAGCTCGATTATTGACACTTCAAATTTCAATACGTTTGTTCATATCCAATATACAAATGATTAGAACTAATAAAAAACCTAACAGGTACACCTAGATCTAACATATAAACAATTTTCTTATTGGACCATTTTATAACTATACATGGTCAAATTCTTCTCGATTGTCTTCTATACCATCTGAACTTTTTCTGTAATAGTATATGAATCGTTTTTATTCGTATGTTTTTTTTAACATGAGACTGATCAATAAGAAAACTTGTAGTTACATAGACAGGACAATTCTTGTGCAAGTTTGATGATAATAGAAATTTTTTTTCATAGTATGCTCAATAATATCGTTACATTCATATCAATTTTAAATGATATTTGTTTATGTGAAAACAAATTATTGATAGTAATTTAAATAGCAATATATTATAGTTTTTCGTCTAGGTCCTAAATATAAAATTTAGTCAGAAGTTTGACTTTGAGAAGAACCTAATAAAATTTAAATGGTTTCCATTGATTAAGAATCAATTTCATTCCTAGATAAATTAGAAAACATTGGTATTTCTAAAATATTCAATATTCGTCTATATTTATAAAATAGTAATGATTTGATAAATTCATA